AATATATTCTACTGATAAGGATAGAAATAAATAAGAAACATATATAGATATGTATGTATAATGCATTTTTACTTTTGTAACTAAAAGAAATTAACAATGTTCAATCTGTAATAAGATACGAATTCTCTTGTTATTTAAATTTATTAGCAGCCTTTTATTAATAAAGAATATAAAAATACATTAACGTCTATAATGAAAAATTTGCAAAAATAAATAAAAAGTATGAAATTAAAAGTAATATGAATTATTTGCACTTTTTACGATATTAATGCATTTATATTGATGTGATAATTATATTTTACCTTTAAATCCTGTAATCTGAATATAATATATTTGAACAAAAATATCCTATTTCTTGTATTTATATTTGATCTAAACATAAAGAACAGTTTGAGTATAAATAAACTAAATTATATAAACAATATCTATTTGTATTTCAAATATTTGAATTAAACAGTTACCTTCAATCATTTATGATGAAATAAATTTAATTCCCACAATTGTTCTTATATATTAGTATATAAACATTACAGGTAACCCTTTGCCAGACACCCTTAATGTTCATGAAATTATATTTCTACTTACGTTATAGTATAAAAGCTGATTTTTATACATAATACTTGGGTAATAATTAGATGATGTTTCCTTATTAATCAGACATTTTTGATAGTTGCAACTCCTTGCCAGACAAGCATGTTTGTTAGCTGTAGGATTTGTTTTTTTTACTGCGCATGTATTGTTTAGTACTTATGTTAGTACATGTTTACATCAGCTAAAATAATCTTATATACTATCTTCAAGTATTATTAATTTAATATTCATTATTTATTAACATCATAAAATATTTCGAATATATACAGTCTATAAAGTATATTTATAATATTGTTAGTATATGATACGTACATTATATGTTTCCAATATGTTTATGTGATTTTTTAAATGAAAGTGATTTTGTATTAAAAAACAAGTCATGGGTGATACATTAATTTGTGTTATTTGTAACAAAAGTAGTGGCAAAATAATATTATTTTCTGACGAGACATTGAAAAAATGTGAATTAATTTTAAAATTGCGAAAAAAACATAACCTTAAATATAATGACATCATTCTTCCACGTGAATATACGGAGAGTGGTTATCACAGGGAATGTTACAAATCATTCACAGGACTAATGAAAAAATATTTTACCCCAGAACCTAAAAATTCTAAAAAGACTGTTGAAACAGAGCAAGAAAAAGAAACATCTAAAGACGTAAATACATCAACAGACGATTCAATACCAGGTTCATCGCATTTGTCTGAGTTAACTGTATCACACCTACCTTCAGCTTCTCAATCAACAGAACCTCAACCTTCCCAGGCAGCTGTGGACATTCGTGGACTTGAAGAAGTGAGTGAAAATGCTAATGCAACCACAGAAGTAAATAGTTGGATTCAAAGTGATACCAGTGTTGACATGAGTAACAATGTTTGTTTATTTTGCAATAAAAAAAAGAGACAAGTGAGATCAAAAATGCTTCCACTCCATGAAGGTGATAAAAACCAATTTCAGTCTCGTATAATGTCTAGCATCGAAAATCAAGAAGAGTATAATGAGTTGTTAAGTAGATTGGAAAGTATTGCAAGTCCAAAAATATACTATCACACTGAATGTAGGGTTCAGTTTAATAATAAAATATCTTCATCGGCGAAAATATCTGTTAAAAGTGATTGGCATCATCATCGAGAGTACCACCAAGAAGCCTTCAATGAAATTAGTAGCATCATAGAAGAAGATATTATCAACAACGGCCACTGTCATTTATTGATTTATTTACATGAATTATATATTGATTCATTGGAGAGAATTTATGCAGAGAATTCCATTGAAATGGATGCTACTTTTACTGTACACCACCTAGAAAAAAAAATTGATAAGAAGTTTTCCAAAGATGTTAAATTCTTTACAATCCGGAATACAAAAATAATAGCACCCAATTATATGAAGAGGATTGACGAAACAGTATTGGACAACTTAAAATCTGAAAATATTTTACAAAAAGCGGCATTAATCTTACGAAAAACTATTTTGACAATGGACAAGAAAAAATTACCATCTAAAAATCTTTCAGCACAGCATTTAATTGCAGGTGAAGCTTCTATACCGCAAGAATTATTTGATTTTTATTCTACTCTCATAGGTGGTTCTAGACAGAAACGAAAAAGTAACTTAAAATATGTTCGTCAAGTACGGTCTCACTGTCAAGATATTATTTATGGAATCCATAATGGTCAAGTCAAGAAGTCTAAGTCATCGTCACAAGTCTAAGTCTCATATCATGCTGGGTATGACTCTGAAGAGTTTAACGAGTAGCAGAATAATTATAGATATAGTCAACGGATATGGTCAAACCATTATACATTATTTTTTAATACTTTCAATCCCATTAACTTTTTCACATTTTTATAGAAACTGACGAAGAAGACCACGATATCGAATGGAGTAACAGTGACGAAGAAAATGATAACATTGATTGATGATAATAAATAAAATAATATTGTCTTTTATACACTATAATAATAATCTGTAATGTCATCAATCTATTTTTTTATACTTTATAATAACTTGTAATGTCATTAATCTATTTTTAATTAATTTTTTGAGTATTATTTTATTTGGTTTTTTTTATAATATATATTTTATAATATATATATTTAGAGACTACGAGATTCAGTCTCCTTATAGAGAGTCTCCGGTACGCGAGGAGAGAGTAGAAGCCGTAAAGATTGCTCGGTCAAATATAGTTTATTGCAGTTTAGTACAAATAAGATGGTTGCGTATGTAATCTCGAAGAACGTCGTAGACTGACTGATTCTTCGGGCCAGTGCTGTCAGATCGTGGGTAAATCTTACCCTCTCCCTGTGCCACTGTAGGATTGCACACAATGAAAGTTACACATGTCCGTGTGTTCGGGATGTCGAAAGAAGTCGAGTGTAACCGAAGTAGTAACGAGTGTGTAACGAGTCGCTTTCATAGTGTACCACTCCGGCNTTCCGAAGTTGGCGGGCACGCCGGAGTGGTACACTATGAAAGCGACTCGTTACACACTCGTTACTACTTCGGTTACACTCGACTTCTTTCGACATCCCGAACACACGGACATGTGTAACTTTCATTGTGTGCAATCCTACAGTGGCACAGGGAGAGGGTAAGATTTACCCACGATCTGACAGCACTGCTTCGGGCGCCTTCGTCTCGGCTCGGCGCGAGACGGCTGAGCGCGCGCCACTAGGGATCCTATAGGAGGGATGCGCCATGTACATTGCTGGGGGACCGGAACTCGATTTTGCGAGCGAATGATTCAAACATTGAAATAATTATGAAATAATGAATTGCATCAAATACAGAAAAAAAATGAACTATATTTAATGATAATTAAAAATTTATATTAAAATAGAATAGGTTACACGGAAAAATTATTATAAATTCAAGCGGTCCCCCAAAATTTTCAGCCAATGGCACATGAGCTGAATATGAATGGCGCATCCCTCCTACAGGATCCCCACCAAATATATATATTTTTTATTGACAAAATAAATTCCAATTTTTAACAATTTAAGGAAGTTGTAGCATCGAATGTATTTTCTTAATATGTTTTTAAAATTTACACTGATTATTAGTTATATAAATCTGTACCAAAAAGTTTATTTGCATAAGTCATTCTAATCACGAATCTCTTCTTAAGATTTACATGCTTGTCTGGCAAGGGGTTGCCACGATATTAAGTGTCTGGCAATGAATGACGTGATTTTTAATAATATTCTGAAGATAATACCAAGAAATCACACTTTTACATTATTTGTGGTAGTCATTTCTTGATTCAGATCATAGTTCTCTTTTTTGCCACCGGCTGCGCAAGTATTCAGAACGTACCGATACTATTATTATTATTACATGTAAATACGGACTGGTTAACCTGACTCATGAATGTAAAAATAAATTAAATTAAATATAAAATATTAATTTATTTTTTTAGAATTATTTTTATTAAAAAATGGGAAAGTGTTGTGTCGTTTATGGTTGCCTTAGTGGCCGAAAGGCAAGTAAGAATTTAGGAAAAGTGGCTTTATTCAAAGCATCAAAAGTGAGTAATCTCAAAATAATATTTAAAATTTTATGTTAACGAATAATTGATTATTACATTTGTGTAATTTCTAAATAATATTAATTCCACGTTTCTTAAAATATTTTTTTTCAAAGCTATCAATAGCAACAAGACTTCCCGCGTAAGTATTTAAACGAGTAATCTGTGAAAAGTAGCGCGCCCTACCGGCAAAATATCTTGTCCCCTAAATTGATACCGTTCTTTCAACATTACTGTCGGACTCTTGGCATCTATCCTCCGTGATATTATTGTTCTCTACTGAGAATAATACTTTCATGAAAATTTTCCTTACCGACGTCATCTCATTTTTTTAATTAGAAATTTGAATAACGTGTTGTGTGCGCGCCTTAATTTCAACCAATTAGGAATCGTATGCAAATTTTCATTGCAATATTAATGTTTAATAAATAAATAGTCAAAAAAAATTTTGATGATTATTCGTTACCACGTATATTTCAGTAAGCATATTTATAAAAAATATTTTCAATTTTATTTAAATATTAAATTACCCCATAGATTTAAAAATAAAATGTAACGACATCTACACTTTTAAAACATACTAGCCTAATGTCAGTGCTGTACTGTACGTAATATGTAACCTGTTCCTATCTAGTTAATAGATATTTATTTAACACAGAAGTCTTCGTTATTTTTTACATTTTTCAATAAAAATATTTATAACTTAATTCCAACAGTAATGAATGTGCCAAATAAACATTTAGATTATAAAAATTTAATCAATTAGTTAAATTAAAAAATTTTATTTATGCGTACGATTTTACGGCCCTGGTCGATCAGACAGGTTAAAGTCATCTCTGAGAACACTGGCTTCGGTGCAACAAGAATCAGTTAAGTATGAGTCACGTAAGAGATATAATGTTGTAAGAGGAGTTGAAATAAAGTCTAATATCACAATAATATTGCAGTGGAACATTTTTTCCTTCGAAGTGTTCTATTATAAGTGTTATTAACCCTACAGATATGAAGTAAACTTTATATCACAGTATAACCACTAAGAGGTACTGTAGTAGAACGTCATGAAAGTCTAAATGTAAATACAAACTTAAAATCAAGTGTTTGATGAATTTGGTTATGAAGTTTTATGGTTATATTTGTTCAACAAGATAGGAAGATTATAACATTAATACGAAATTGAATTATTATTATTGTTATATTGTGATTCAAGGTATGTATACAAAATTGGTCAAATATAAAGTTTAAATTACATTCTACAGGCATTGATGAAACTTCTCGAATACACTTCTTACAACTTTATTAAAATTTGCTTTTTTTTTAAAGTGATAATCTATTTAATTTAAAAAAATGGTTACTGGACCTGCTGAACATGGCATACAAGCTGATGTTATATTTGTTATTGAAGAAACAGCTGTAAATGGTGCATATTTGAATGATCTTAAAACCAATTATTTAATACCTACATTAGAGTAAGTAATATTTGTGTATTTATGTAACTTAAATACATATGAATAAAATGTAATAACATTAACGTTAACACTGATGTTATTTTTTTTTTTTTATAGGTATTTTAGTCAAGGTGGTATAGAAGACAGAGAATATGTTGCAGAGGTACTTGAATTTATGAGTTATTATTTATTTTATGCAACATTTATATTTAAAGTATTGTAAAGTATTGTAAAGTATTTTTCTTTTAATGTAACAGAATAGCACTACACTGTATGGGATAGTATTATATCATGCTGCTGATTGTTTGCCAGCATCTTGCACGGAAACTCTTGGCCCTTATGTAAATCCTCATAAATTACTACTTATCTTAGATAAACTTGAGTATGTAAAATTTGATATTTATTATTTTAAGCTGCATTTTAATTACAAATATCGCTGGCATAATTACTGAAAGCATTCTATGCCAACTGTCAGTTAATATAATTTTTTCTATGTGTGTATATGTATCATTTATTAATTTCAAATGTTATGATTTGTAGAATGGTTGGTGGAAAAGGAGAATCACATGCAAATATTGGGGAAGGTCTTGCTACTGCATTGCAATGCTTTGAAGATTTATTGCTAAGACGAGAACCAAGTAGTGCAACACAGAAACACTGTATTTTGATCTGTAATTCACCACCGTATCAAACAGTTATTCAAGAATCTTATAAATTTGCCGGTCACACTGTAGAACAAGTAGCTGCTCTTTTCCAAGAGGTTTACCATTTTTTAAGTAATCAATAATCGATCCTTATATATTTATATATAAATTGAGTATTTCATAATATTTTTATTTTTAGAGAAATATCAATCTATCGGTATTATCTCCACGAAAAATACCAGCATTGTTCAAATTATTTGAAAAAGCAGGAGGTGATCTGCAATCGTCTCAAACAAAGAATTATGCTAAAGATCCACGACATTTAGTACTTTTACGTAATTATAATTTAAAAGAAAGACCTGTCAGTCCATCAATTGGAGGAACAGTTCATACAGCAGTACCGAATACAGCACAGATACCTCTTAGCCCATTACAAAGCAACGATAGTCCAAATCCAAATCAAGTCCAGCAAAGTATTGCTCCAACACCACAATCACAGACTCCTACATTCAGAAATCAAACACCTCAAAATATTGCTTCGGTTCATCCATCAGTAGCACAAAATATGGCTGCACCTATAAGTGCACGATCACCCTATAATCCTCAAATATCTGCTCCACCAAATTACCATCCAGGGGCTGTCGGTGCAAGAGCTACACATTCTAGATGGATGAGACCATTTATAGCACCAAGTGCTAATACTCCCACTAATGCACAGAGTAGTGCCTTAATTGCTCAATTAACACAACCACCTTCATCGTTAGGACTTAACGTATCTCCATATGGTCAAAGAATGGATGGTAGTATGTTACTGCAAATTATTATCCTATTATATTTATATGCATAACAAAATTATGTGAATTTATTTATGTGTTATATATTTACATTTCAGTGGTTAACAGTAATATCATGGCAGCGAATGCTCAACAACAACAGCAACAGATAAATCAGCAACAGCAGCATCAATTACGATTGAATATACTACAACAACAGCAGCAACAACAAGCATCCTTGTCTATTTCAAATCAGCCAGCACACAGTCAAGCAACGTCACAACTCACAGCATCGTGTGTAAGTCCATCTGTGCCTACTCAAGTTCCACCAACTGTAACTGCATCTCAAGCTCCAGTTCCAGTATGTTCTGTAACTCCACTAGCTACTCATCCTCAAGCACCACAGGTACTTTATGATAAATATTTTTATTATAGAAGTGCATCTTTCCGGTAATTTTGTCTTAATGATTACATTTTTCCATCTTGTTGTTCACGTTCTTCTGTTTGCTTTCGTTTTATCTATGTTAGGAGTTTTGTATTTCTCCTGCTATCTATATTGCAGATTAATGGAGGGAGTGGAAATGTTTCAAATCAACAGATTACAACTGCAAGAGAACGACATACTATTTGGCAAGGTGTTGTAGAATGGATTGAAAAGACTAAAAATCCTGCCGATGCACAGAAGCAAACAAGACATGTTCCTTGTCAAGTTTCTGCCAATTCAAAAGATGGAGATCCAGAATTGTAAGAATTTTTATTTAATAATTATATTTATTATAATTTTAAATAATTATTTTATCACATAATTATGAATAATCGTTTACTTATATAGAATAATGCTGTTTTGTTAAAATTGTTAGAAAAGCAGATACATGGCCACAAAAGTTAATAATGCAATTGATGCCAAAGCAATTAATAGGAAATATTGGTGGATCTTATTTAAAAAATTCCAAATCTGTTCTTTTTCATCCAACACCATGCGAAGCTTTAGAATCTTTAACAAATATGATGACTTCTGGATTTGTAAGAATCATTTGTTACATTACATTCATCATTGTATTGAAAAATCATTTTGTCTTTAAGAGAATAATTAATATTATTAAATTTGCTTTTGTATACTCTATTTCCAGGCAGGCTGTGTACATTTTACATCTGTACCACCTAGTTCAGCATGTGAAATAAAAGTGCTTATACTTCTTTATACAGCAGAAAAACGAACATATTTGGGCTTTATTCCTAATGATCAAACAGCTTTTGTGGATCGTCTTCGTAAAGTGATTCAACAACAAAAAACTTCGCAAGGTCCAATGAGACAAGGTCAAGTAAGTATAATAAATAAAAATAATATTAATAATTCTTTATTGCGATTATGGAAGTATTACTATTGCTATTAACTTGATTAAATTAGGCTGGTACAGCCCCTGGAAATGCCTTGCCTGGTACTATACCTAACACAGGAATATCGCAAGGTGGGATTTTATTGTCTCAAACGAATACTCTGACAATGGGTGGAGGACAGATTACACAAAATGTTGTTTCTGCGAATACGCCTCAGCAGACTTTGCAAACCCCTTCAGCTCAACAAAATCAATTAACTTTACAGGTAAGCTGAAAATAGCATAATAAAAATAGATTATTGTAACAAATGAAGTTAATAATTTAATATAAATTAAATTGTTACAACTTGTTATAGAGTGGAGGAATTACTGCATCACAAGTCAGTGGTAATACAGGAGGTATTATTGGTCAACAAAGACCACCATATGACGATCTTGAAATAGCCAGGCATCAGAATTTATTAAAGATCCAACAATTACGTCAAACGCTAGAGGCTGCACAGCAACAGGAGGCACAATATAAATCACAACTGGAAGTTAATGTAAGCATTAACAAAAATATTATATCTCGTATTTATTTTATTTAGATAATAAATAAAATATTTAATTGATTATCACTGTTACAGATACAGCAAAATTTAGAAGTAGCACAACAACAAGAAATGCAATATAAACAGCAGCTTGAGGCATGTAATTCTTACATATAAATAATATTCATTAATCAAATTTGAGGAAATATTTTTTGAATTATCATTAATATTTAATTATCATTAGGCCCAACAAGCACAACGTGGTATTGCTCCTTCTGCTATGACAAATCAAACATCTAATGCTCAAAGAATGATGCGCCCTGTGTCATCTAACAGTCTTGGTTTACGGCATTTATTACAACAAGTATGAAATTTAAATATGATAATTCTTCCTTATTAGTTTTGTATAATTATAGTATATTAAAATATAATATATATGTGGGATGTGAGAATATTTATGTGCGCGTGTGTGTGTGTTTTTTTAGAGGAAAAGAATTTACAAATGAACTATCAGTGATTGCATTACCCTGTATTATGTATTGTGCCGGGTTGAGCAAGTTGCAGCGTGTAATCACAACCTAAGTGATCTGATGGTGTGACCACATCTTGGTCTTTTCATACGCATTCGTATGCCAAGACTTGACCGGCCCAAAATAACCTCTTTACACCTGATGTTGATTCCCCAGGGATCATTAGGCATTATATCTTGAGGAAGGCATCAGCTGCTTCCAGCTCTTCCTTCTGCATTGAAACCACCTAAGTCCCTGTATTAACTGAGATGTTGATGGTTCCAGGGTTCAGTGGGCTCCTTTTTTCTTCATTCTTTTTTAGATCTGTCTTCTTCTTTTCTTTACGATATAAGTCATTAAAGAAATCGATCATGAAGGTCGTTGTTGCATTCCATGCCATCTCAGATGATAGCATAGCCTCTATTAATGTATCTTGGTTAATGCTTTGCCTCAGTATCTCGCAATTAGGCCGCTGCGGGAAGAGCGTTTCGACTACCTTCTTGAGAAACGCTGGACAGGTTGGTGATGGCGTTATCTAACTCTTTAGTCGTTTTACAACGACTTTGTAAGGCCTTCCCCAAGGGTCATCATCTACCTCCTTCAGATGCTATTTTCAGCATTGCTTTTTGCTGTTTTTTATGGCCTTAACCAGTTTTTCGCGAGCCTTTTTATACTGCTCCAACAGCTCTGGCTAGTTTCTACCTTTTTTCCGACTACACGTTGCCGCTATCTTTACCGCTTTGTTTTTTTTTTTTTTACTGTGATATAAGTATGGGTATATGAGTATGGTGTGTGAGTTTGTGTGAAATGAAAGAGACTGCATGTGGAATGAAAGAAGACCGTTTCTTTGGACGGTTTGAGTGTTTTTGTTTGAAAGTTTCGAGAAAGAATGTAAGGAATATTTGAAAGGGATGTCAGTATATAAAGTTGATGGAAAAAACAAAAGGCGGGGCACATTTGCATTAGTTGACGTATGCTGTTTCAACGAATGATTGTGTTAATTAATTTATAGACTCTTATCATTTGGTCTTTTTTCTATATACATAGGTTGAAACTTAAATAATGGCAACTATTAATTCACAACCGATACAAAAGAGTTACATGTTTTCACCTGTTACTGTCCTTCAAAGTAGTCACCAGCGTTGTGTAGAACCCGTTGCCAGCAATGTGGAAGGCGTAGTATACCGTCAGCAGAGCCTGTTCTGTTGATGGTACGAATGGAGCGGTCTACTGCCATGTCTCATCCAGTGTTACGATACGGCGTAAGAAAGCCTCTCATTCGCACTTATAGCGCTCCAAGTACGTCTGAGCAGCGTCGTAACGCATCCATTTCTGCATTTCCGTCAATTCATGCAGAACCCATTGTGGCATTCACTTGAGAACTGTTCCAAAGATTCGACAGGCAATAGACCGCTCCATTCTCACCATCAACAGAACAGGCTCTGCTAACAGTATACCAAGCCTTCCAAATCGCTGCCAACGGGTTCTACACAACTCTGGTGACTACTTTGAAGGACAGTAACAGGTGCAAACATGTAACTCTTGTTTTTTCAGTTCATTTAAGTTTCAACCTACGTATATGTTTTTATATCTTTTACTATTAAATAAATTCAATTTAATTTATATATATATTTCTTTCGTAGCAACAACAACCTCAGTACAGACAACAAATTCTTGGAATACAACAACAAATGGTTAGTCCGAGAGGACAAATGACAACACGTCCTATGGCACCTAATAGTACACAAAATCAACAATTCGATGATAATTATGATTTTCTTAATTAAATAATAGTATAGGTAATTATATTTTTAACTTCTATTTTGTATAAAAATTAATATAATATTATATCTATAGTTGATCACGAAAATATTCGGACACCAGTTATAGATTCAATATTTATATTCTGTATTTTAAGTAAATGTATAAATGACTATAAAAAGAACAATTCGTGGTTTGTGTTTCGTGCTTTTCGTTGTCCTGATAAAACTTAAATTATTGTTAGATTCCCATTTTTGCAACAGTTTTTAAAACTACTTTTTTAAATCCTTACATATTTATTTTTATCAAACATGTTATTAAGGGGTAACACCACTTATAGAGCCTGAAAAAGAAGTCTTTTTTTGGGAATTTTTTTTGCGAAAACTAAATGAATAGAATTTCTTTTTTGATGGTTGGTTAATCATATATTGAGCTATGCAAACAAATATTTTGATTGATTTTAGATAAAAAATGGCGTCGGTATTCGTGGCTAAACCAAACCCTGTTATTTTTTGGTAAAACGGGCGGACTCTCCTGAGGCCCTCGCGGCGAAGGGCATCAATCAACGTGATTTTTAGCTTTAGTTACAGCAATCTAAAATTAAAAAAGAGGGTCGGAGCGTGTTCATAAAACATGTATCTTCTAGTTGTACTAAATAAAAACTAAAAAGTCAGAAAATCGTAAATTGGCACGACTCAGACAAAAAGTCTGATTTTTGATCCTTTTTTTTAACGGTTTTTGGGTAAAAAATGGCAATTTTTGAAAATTTTTGTGGCATTCTTAAAATTCAACTAGAAGCTAATACTATAAAGAAAATGTGTGCTAAATTTCATAAGAATCNTATATATATATATATATATATATATTTCTACAGGTACAATTTGTACTATACAATAGCTTTCAATGAATTGAACATAATAATCATAACATTGCAAAATTCTGACAGTGACACTGCAGCTAAAGCTTGTCAGTATTACTGCCGGTTAGAGTGATAAGGATTAATAAAATTGTATCGATATTTCGAAGTATTAATAGCGTAAATTATTTAATAGATAATCGTTAATAATATTAGGTCGAGTCATAAATAATTTCCGTTTTTTTATGAGACAAAAAATAGTGTTTTTGTCACTAATAAAAGTGCACGACACTTTTCATTGTGTTTTTTTGCAATCTTTGTATTTGTTGGACGTATCTATTGAATTTTGCTCCAAAATTACCTTTAAAAGGTTCGTCAAAGTTGGAAAGACGTCTTGCATTCGGTTCGTCTTTTAAATGGGGTATTCTGGTCTAGAAATCTGAAAAAATCGATTTTTTTTTGGTCATATCTTCAAAGCTTAATCTTTTAAGAATATGTCCTCAAGAGGATTTTTCAAAATTCAATTTATTTTCGGAGATATAACTGTTTTAGTCACGCGGCATCCTATATCCTACCCTTATTACGCGAAACTTTGAAAGCGTTTTTCTCGAAACTGTTTTTTTTCATAAATGTCAAGATATCTCAAGTTTTACTAAACCGATTATCTTGAAAATTGTTTAGAATCTTCTCTATGCATTACTCTATCGTGCAAATTAAAATCTTACAAAATTTTTAATTTTTACTTTTTTTAAAAAATTCGGAAAAGTACAAAAAGTGGTAAAAATAATGTATCTTTTTTTCAAACAGCTGTAATTTAGCGAAAAAAAAACTTTTTTCAATGCTTTTAGTTCAAACGATAGCGGCATTATTCTAAATTAATAATCCGTTTTAATTTTTTATTTCGGATTACTAGAAGAGCTGCAATCGTAACAACCGTCGCGTGCCGTTTTTTTGGGACCCCCCCCTTCATCAGCCTATATCTTTTTCAATTTTGAATTTTTTTATTATTTTTTTTCTCGTCTTTACTTTTTGTCTTTCGCCAGATCCTTCCAACGATTCAGCTCACCCTTACATTTCTTTCAGCCTGTAAAGCGAGTTAAAATCGAAAGTCACCCATTAAAATTTATACTTCCTATAACAGGAATGCATTATCGTTCGCGTCCTTTGCCACATCATTTCCAAGTTGTTTTTTTTCCTGTTTTACAATTAGTTTTTTCTTTCCTATTTAGTAAACTTTTTAAGGCCGGCGATACATGTAAACGCATAAATTTTGACCGTTTTTCAGAGGCTTATTTAAAATGGAAGGAATAAATGAATCGTTTTGAAACTCAGCATGTTTATTTATTACATATTAAAATATAAGAATCTGATTTTTTTTTTTCAAAATTACCGCCGTAGTAACTAATCTCTTGAGGCCCTCGCGGCGAAGGGCATCAATCAACGTGATTTTTAGCTTTAGCTACAGCAATCTAAAATTTAAAAAAAGGGTCGGAGCGTGTTCATAAAACATGTATCTTCTAGTTGTACTAAATAAAAACTAAAAAATCAGAAAATCGTAAATTGGCACGACTCAGACAAAAAGTCTGATTTTTGATCCTTTTTTTAACGGTTTTTGGGTCAAAAATGGCAATTTTTGAAAATTTTTGTGGCATTCTTAAAGTTTAACTAGAAGCTAATACTATAAAGAAAATGTGTGCTAAATTTCATAAGAATCGGGTAAAACTTTTTTGAGTTATCTTGCATGCCAGTTTGAAAAAAGTCGTTTCGAGAAAAACGCGTTCAAAGTTTAGCGTTCGCATCTAGCGCCGAGTTKAGGCGGAGCACTTCAATGAATTTTTAATCGATACATAATGCGAATTTCATTCTAAAAATTTACAGGCATATTTTTAAGATGGTAAACAAACTATTTATGAAAAAAAAAAATTCTACTTTTTTTTATTTTACATGTATCGCCGGCCTTAAGCTAAAAAACAAAAAAATCGATTTTTTGAAAATTCTATAGTGGTGTTACCCTATAATAAATACTAATTTACCTACTTTGTGCAAAAAAATAAACTTCCTTACTATTATAAAGCCAGCATAGTACTTTATGATAGGTTTTAAATGTTTTTGATTGAATTCTTCTCGCAGTTTTCTTTAAATTTTCACTTTCCCAGCACTATCATAAACATTAAATTTGCTCTCATCGGCTAAAATAACGTCATTCCATAACTCATTTTCTTTAAAAATGTATGTCTTAGCTAAAAGAATCTCTTTTTTCTGTTTATTGCATTAATGTACGGTTTTCTCCTGACTATCTGCCTATTTTCTAGATGTATAGTGATACTACGTTCTGCCTGTAGCATTATGGCTATTTTTGGAGTACTTGTCTCTGAGTTTCTTTTTTAATTTTTCTATTAATGTTAAACCTATTGCGAACAGTTCAAATTTTTAATGATTTAACGAATAAAATTGATTCTGTTTTTATTTTTATATTTTTTTAAGGATGACTTCTGCAGAATTCTTTCATTATTTTTTAAAAAACTTAAAGTTTCGATACGAGTTTCCTTTTTTTTTTTATGGAAAATGAGTAACATAAGTGCTGCATATTGAAAAATGTGTTCTTATTTTTACGACTTATTTCTCAATAAATATGAAATGCAATTAATAAATACTCGACTATTGATTTTTCCTTTATGTTAAAAGGATTATGATTACAAATATTGTACTAATAGATTTTTAAGATTTAAATCATTCTTATATTGACTAACAGTATTTTACAATATCCGTAAAAAATATATTTACAATATTATTTACAATGACTAACGAATTGGCGATTTCTTCGATTATCTTCTATTATTCAAACAATCATATATGATAAATAATTAATATTTTTTGTATTTTTGTTATATCTAGAAATAATTTTCAATCATAGTATATTTTTTTCGTAGATTTGTATATTCAGTTAAAATACAGAACGTAAATATCAAATCTGTACTGATGTCCGAATATTTCCTTGATTGACTATATTTTGATATTAGTTTAATTGTAATATTTGTACAAAACATTATTTGATTAAAATAAAATATAGGAAAATATAATTTTCAGATAGTTCTATATTATGGTGTTACTTATGATATTATTTGAAGAGATAAATAAATTTTTATATAGATATATAAATTATATAATAAGTAAAGAATGTAATAAGATATAATAAATAACATTAAAAACTTTTGTAAAATATCTTTCTTCTTTTTTTAAATCCTATGTTTATAATATTCTTTTCTTTATACGTTTTCTTGGCTGATAACATTTCTTTCCAAACAAGCAATCTATGCAAAGATTAATTTGTACAATAAGACTATACTTTGATACAGACTTTTTAAGTAAACAGATAAGAATTATCATATGTACAGTTATTCTTTGAGTAGTAGCTTATAACACATAATTGAGAGAAAACGTACTTACTTACAGCAGCTGACTTATCGATATCAATTTTTAATTTTTCTAACAATTATGGCACTAAGAACGTATACCTGTTTAAAATTACATTTAAAAAGAAAAACTACACAATATAATAAAAATATTTTACAAATAAAACATATTTCTTGTGAACGTAATGATGTTATTCAATTGTATCACAGTGAAAATGGTGTTTATGGATATAAACCAAAACAACCACAAAAACATTTGGAAGGTATTTAAATTAATCAGTTTATTTCAATATTTTTGTTTAATTATCACAATTATTATTATTTAATATACTAATTTTCAGTTTCAAAAGAAGACTTAGAGACACGAGTTAAAAACAGTAATTTTTATAGGCTTGTTATGGCATACAGACAGTTTGCTCATAAACAGGCCAATATAAATCCTATATCATTAAGTAAACAAATAACGCTTCCGGAATTGCAACCAGAACAATTTGGGTTAAATCTAAATGACAATGTAATTTTTAAAGGAATCTTAGAGATAAAACAAAATGAAGGAACTGTTTTGGAAGCACTGAAGTTTTTGAATACTGTTTATTGTTCCCATATTGGAGTCGAATTTAATTATCTCGAGGTAAATACATATTACCTTTTAATAATTATACATATTTAAATGTTATTCGTTATTATTGTTATTATTATTATTTACTCATTTTTTTCCCATCCTTGAGTGATTTTTATTTACTTCTAAATGGATTTGTCTTTTTATCAAGCTTAAAAGCAGATAGTTTTGTTTAACAAATAAAAGGACTATGTGCTATATATCTTAGGATAATATATCTTTTTAAATATATCTGTGCATGTCTGATTGTGAGTTTAGTCGGAGCTATTATAGGTGTGTAAATAATTTAACTCTTTGCACTCGAGAGGTGAGTCTCGCTCACCAAACTATTCAACGCTACAACTCCAAAGGTGACTCTCGTTTACCACTTTGTTTGGTGCGGAAATTCGATGAAATTTACAAGAGTACTGATCACGGAATGATATCAGTTACATTCCTTTTTATTCAAACAAATTTACCAGAGACAGATTTAGCCAGATTTTTTGGACGCATCATCTAAAAACAATCCAAACAAAAGATGCAGGTCCAAGACCACGTTTACAGATAGTAAGCTGCTTTCGCGACTATATAAATTCTAAACTTTTGAAGTATTTTACACTGGGAGAAGAAATTTGTGTGGATGAGCCCACTATCAAATTCAAAGGTCGAATTTCCTTTATTACTTAAAACCCGAAAAAACCAACTAAATGGGGTATTAGAGTTCACACAAATGGCAGACTCAAATATTGGATATATCTGTAATATTTTTCCTTATTATGGAAGTCTTATCGCGGAGAAATTTATAAAATCACTAAAAAACAGAGAGAACAGTCGCTTAATCACTTGCAGTATGTGAAAATCTTTATTTCGTCAATTGACTAGAAATTTTCGTCAGACACGTGTTCGAGTTTCGACTTCAACCTCCAATTCCGAAAACATCTGCCTAAATGGAAAGCTG